CTCTCTCTCTACAGCTCGCGGCTCCCTTTCACTTCTCTCTAAACCTCCAGCTCACTTCCTCCTTTCTTTCTCTCTCGGTTGGAAGCAATGAGAATCTGAATCTCCCAACCAAAAAAAAGTCAACTTTCCCTCACTCACACTGCCAGAACCTTCCTTTCACCCTCACAATCACTGCCCAACCGAACCCATTTCCCAGATCTTCCGTTTGTAAACATTAGTTTTCTGTTTGGATGCTTTTTTGCCTTTTTTTTTTGTTTGCTTTTTGCTTGTGGTATCTTAGGTGTGGTATCCGGTTGCTAGATTAAAAAGTTTGAATTTTTTTGGTTCTAAGGTTTTTGCTTTTTGCAAAGATTTCTGGGGATTTTTGTTGAAGGAGCTCTTCCTTTTGTGAAGATTTTATATATATAGTACTCGGTTAGCCATTGATCGTCTCGTTACGCTAATTTTTATTTACTAAATTAATAAAATAATAAAAATGAATATAAAATAAAATAATAATAAAAGCACATAAAAAAAAAATAGTATCTACAGCCTTTCCCTTCAATCATCTCTTTCTTTGTTTGAGATGGATGTCAAATCCATCCTTCATGAACACCACTTGCTCTGTGATGAATATGATGAATCACAGGAACTTTGTGATATATGCAATCAGAGAATTGGTGGTATGGCTTATTATTGTGATAGATGCAAGTTCTCATTGCATGATTCTTGTGTTCATCAACACCTACCTCCTCAGATAAGTGCCCATCCTTGCCATCCCCAACACAATCTTACTCTCGTAGGGTCAAATCACATGGATTACATATGTGATATATGTTTCAATCTTTCTCGAGGCTATAGATATCATTGCAAAAAGTGTGATTTTAGCCTTGGGTATCCATGTGCTTTTTCAACTAATGATGAGAAAAACAGACTCAATGATGAGACATCTAAAAAACTTAGTGGTTTTACCCTCTTTAATTATAGGAGAGTGAGAAAGTATGAGTACATATGTAGTTGGTGTGAGAACCATTTGTCTGGAATGTGTTATTCCTGTTTTCACAATGGTGCTTATACCTGGTTCCACGATTCCTGCCTAATCAACATGCCTGCCATAATCTTCAAACACTCATTTCATCCATCACACCCTCTTCAATTATGCAACAGTCACTTTGATAACGGGTTGTGCAATGCTTGCAACCTACCAATATGGGAGTTCAGAAAAGCCTATTGTTGTAGAAAATGTGAATTCCACCTTCATGTTCATTGTGCTAAACTACGACCCAGTCTCAAGGTTGAATTACATGAGCATGGTCTTACTTTTTTTCGAATAAAAGCTAATACCCCTACCCACTTATGCAGGATATGTGGTTTTAGTTTTGATGCTATAGGGGACGACAGTGCCTTTTATCGTTGTGTCTACTGTAATTTCAATTACTGTTTCGAGTGTCTTAGAATACCACATTCTACTTCACACAAGTATCACAGGCATGATCTCAGGCTTATGGATTCATTTATAGAAGATGTTTCTGAAGAATATTATTGTGATACATGTGAAGAAGGAAGAAAACCCAAGCACAGTGTTTATTGTTGCAAGAAATGCAAATTTATTGCTCACATCGAATGTGCACTCAATAAGGTAAGGAGACATTTACTCTCCCTCTAAAGAAATTTAGTAAATATTTTTTTCATTAGGTAAACTATTAATTACTTGATCATAGGTCACATACAATATGGCCTTTAGAAAAATTTTGATGTTAATATTTTCACTTCACCAGGTTGTACATTATTGTGATATTTTCACTTGCCAATAAATTTTTTTTTTGAAATTTACATTAGGTCTTCTATAATTCCTTGGATTTATATATCATAAAGATTTTATAGTAATAAACATCATTTACTTTTTTGAATAAAATTCAATGAAAAAAAAACTAAAAAATGTAAATATATAGCAGTATTCAAAATTAATTTGGAGACGGCTTTAGTAAACTATTGAATGTTGAATAAAATAAAAACACATACATGCATCATCATGTTAATTTGTGAACATATATATTTGATTATTTAATTATTGCTTCCATATTTTAGTTTTATCTTAAATTCATTTCTTTTAGTTTTTAAACAAAAATAAAGAATAAATTACCCCTCATGTCTTACAAACCTATGTACAGGATCCATAATCTGGTTCCTAAGAATTCTTAAACTTCTTGCTTTCCATATATATAGCCCACGATATGCAAGCTATTTCTCCAACATCTTCTAGACCAACGCTGCAACTTCCCTGGAATATCCAATCAAAAACAGAGTTGTAATGTGCTTCTATGTCCCTAAATCCCCTCCTTGAAGATAACCACGTTGCTCTCGCAAACTGACAGCAGCATAATGTATGAAAATCAGCTTCTTCAGCTCCCTGGCAGAATGCACAATTACGGTCCACATTGATTTTTCGGTGTCTTAGAGCTTGCTTGGTTGGAAGAGCACCCTTCAAAGCTTTCCACATAAAGAAGATAATTTTTTGTGGAATAGTGAGCCTCCATAATTTCTTCCAAAAGCCATTTAACACTTCGCTCGAACTACCCGACTCTGCATCAACCAGTAAAGACGACATCAAGCGATAACCAGACTTCACCGTATACTGTCCATGCTTACTGTCAGCCCCACACCTGCCTATCTATAGGGACCCTCACACTAAGAGGGATAGACAATATTAGATTACTCTCATATGGAGGAAAACACCTTATAACTATCTCTTCATCCCACTTCACATCTTCCTCATTGATAAGTTCTGACACCATCATTGAAGCACTCACATTCTCCTCATATGCCATTGCAGTCCGAGGTGTTTCATATGGGATCCAAAAGTCCTCCAATACCCATATATCCTTGCCATTGCCAACTCTCCATACTAAACCATTTTTAAGGATTGCTTGAGACTCTCTAATGCTCCTCCATAGATAACTGGGGTTAGACCCTACTGGGGCATCCACATATCATGTGAATTATGTGAATATAGTCACATGGAGAAAAATGTAGTGCTTAGATGGCAAATCTGTTCCATATTTAATAGTGTATTGATGGATAGATGAATTTAAAATAAATTCAAAAAGATGTAGATGGAAAAAATTGAGTTTGTTTAGTCATAAATGAAAATAAAATATTATGACAATGTTAGAAACTAAAGATGAACTTCACTCGACGTGGTTGTGCAGGTGCAAATTGAACATTTTGATCATCAACATCCCTTGAGCTATAATGAGGCTATTGAACAGAATGAAAGTCTTCTTTGCAATGGTTGCTGTCAGGAAATTTTTGATCGACACTATGCTTGTGTTGATTGTAAATACCACTTACATGAAACGTGCACTACATTGTCGTATGAGGTGTCACACCCTCTTCATTGCCAGCATCCTCTCAAGCTCTTCACTGATATAGTTGAATTTACATGTCATGGATGTAGGGAACATTCTGGTGGGTTTGCTTACATGTGCCTTCCATGTGATTTCCAACTTGATGTGCAATGTGCTACCTCTCTAATCCCACCTAAAAATGAGGGGCAAAAGTTGAAAGAGATGGACAAAGTTTCCAAGTTGTGCCCTTTCAATCAAAATCATAAGCTAGACTTCTTCAACCGTAGACCCGGTCTCAAAGATTTGTCTTTGGAATGCGATGCTTGCAAGCTACCAATCTTGGGTCCAGGTTATAGATGTCGTGATTGTCTCAATATCAAAATTCATGAATCTTGTCTTGCACATATGCAGGAGATACAACTCACCTTTCATCCATTACACCCCCTTCATCCACAAATTGGCGATTGGGAAAATTGTTCTGCCTGTAGATTTAAAATCATTGAAAGTATCGGTTATAGTTGTCGACAGTGTGATTTCCACCTTCATCTTCATTGTGCTAATTCCCTGAAGTTGGCCTTGAAAATTAAGTCTCACATGCATAATCTTTATTATTTTGGACCAGATTATGAGAAATCCTACCAACTATGTAACCAATGCAAAAGTTACATTGGTAAGGAACCTTTCTATTATTGCGTGGAGTGCAATATCAATTTGCACTTAAAATGTGTTCCCATACCATGTTTAGTTAAATCCAAATGTCATATGCATCGTTTGACTCTTAAAAATAATTTTGTGGAAGATGATTCTGGAGAATACTATTGTGACATTTGTGAAGAAGAAAGGAACTCAAAAAATCATTGTTATTATTGTGAAGAGTGTGCTGGACTATTTGTTGCTCACGTCGAGTGCGTGCTTCTTACAGTAAGTTTATCACTCTCATTTTCTCTGTAGAATTTTTCTATACCATGTTATTTAATTTTTTAAAAGAAAATAAGAATCTAAATTACACATCACCTCATTGATTGATTGGACTTTATTAACGGTTAAAGTACATCATAAGTCCATATATTATAGATTTTTTGTTAATTTAATCTCTTTACCTGGTTATATTTTTTTAATTGGGGGTTCGATTTTTTTTTTATTGGGGGAGAGGGTATTCGAACCCTGCCCTTTAAGTAGAGGGATAATGCACCAACTAGTGAACCAAAACTAATTAATTTAGTCTCTATACTTTTAGATTTTATATAATTGAATTATTTTGCTTAACTCCATCCAAATTAACCATTAGTGGTGCTAGTGTTGCATTGACATGCAAGATAAAAAAATAAAAGAAATTGGCCATGTGGCATTTTTTTCTTTCCTTTTTTATCTTCTGTCATTTATTCAAAACGACATTGTTTTAGAGTACTATTTAAAGCACATGTAGGTTTTATTTTTCATTTTCCTTCTTTCCTTCTCTCTAGCTCTCTTCTCTCCCTAGATTCCGACCCCTATCAGTCATTAATGGTATGAAAATCTAATAAAAAAAATCAAAAAATTCATTTTTTTTTGGCCCTATTTCCCATAATTAGGATACCTTTTTCAAAATCTATCTCAATTTTCCTAGATCTAAAATCATAAACCTGTAAAAAAGAAACTTGTTTCTTTCCACTGCTGTGTCCTGGACTTGATGTTAATGATCAAGGGTTGTGTTTTTCATGTTGTAGGATTTGGAATTTCTAGATGGAAATTTCCATGAATTTTCCAACTTGAAAGATGCTGACTCACCTACTGAGAGTTCCTCTATGGATAAGTTGCTTTCCCAGCCCCATGCTGAAGTTTACCTGAACCAAAACAGAATGGTAGTTAAGTCCTATATAAGTTCATTTTAAAGATCCCATATTCATGCGAAAATGAATTTTATTTTATGAATTGTTTAATCGAAGAAAAGTTTTCACGATTTTGTGGGTGCCATTGTTGTTGCAGAAGTACTGGGTGGATAAGAAGGTAAACAAATACTGCTTCATGTTGTTTGCAAGAGATCTTTCAATCACTTGGGCAGAAGAACACCGCTATTGGCGCTGGTCATACCAAAGAGAAACAAACAGGTTAATGAACATTTTATTATCCATTCAGAATCCTTACTTAATGGTTCTAGCTCAACAAGTTTCCTAATCCGTAAACTCTTTATTCTACAGCGATGTGTTGATTGATGTTATCCAACTCTTAAACGTGTGTTGGCTAGAGATGCACGTGAAATTCAATGTGAAAAAGCTCTCACCGAAAACTTTGTACGAAGCTGTGTTCATGTTTAAGTTGATGGATGAAGCATATGGATGGGATACTCCAGTGAACTTGGGATTCACTCTTCCAAATGGGTGCAAGGTTGAACGCAAGGAAATTTTGATGACCAAGCCAACAGGAGTATGGATAGAAATCCTTGTCGGAGAATTCACAACTTCATTCGAAATTGTTGGAGAAATAGATATTTACTGTCACCAATATGATGAATTGACATGGAAGAGAGGACTTATTGTTAAAGGAGTTGCTATTCTACCAAAGAATTAAGTTATAAATTAGTATTTTGTCATAATAAATCTAACAGTACTGTAGTCAACTTGGATTGACAGCATAAAAACTCAACTAAATTCCAACAAAGATTATTCCCAACCCATACAGTAAATTTGTATATGTTACTTGACTGATTTACATTGAAGAAGTAAATTTGCATATCACCCACATTATAAACTAATCAATTACTGAAAATATGAAATTACGACTAGTGCTTGCTAAATCTCATAAATAAAATCATCTTAATAAGCAGTAACTATGTGTGCGAGGGCTAATTATTGAAGTTAACATTCCTTGAATTTTACCCCAAAATTTGTGTTAATGTTCTAGGTTGTGATCAAGTCAAATATGCAAGTTTCTAACATTTAAATAGATTAGGAGTACAATTTGAAGTAATAGCTTCAAGCATGGAAGAAGAAAAACAAAGATTATTGGATCACAGTAATGGAGTTCATGGTGTGAGAAAAACAAGATTAATTATTTTTTTTTTCTATTTATTGATGCAATAAACTCAATGTTAAGTTTCAAGATTGAATTTTCATACCTTCTTCGTTATGACAAAGCCAACTTAGCTTTTGTACAAGAGCTGATAATGTTGTGAAATCAATCACAAGCTAAGCTACAATGATGCAACAATTGGGACAGAATTAGAATTTAACATGATTTTACATTATCGTTAATTTCCTTGCAAAAGAAAAGGCAATGATGATGAAAACTTGATTTTTCATAAATATAAATTTTTTTTATTATTTTTTACAGTAACATTAAGTTTATTATAAGATTTATCTTTTTATTTTGATTAAAAATTAAATATTAAAACAGTATTTTTTTTTTACAAAATTTTTTTACACCAATTATTTAAGAAATATTTATAGACCCGCGGGGTTCTTTCTAGTTGAGTTTAATGTTGGCATCTGGCATGTGGCATTGCCAAAGCTCCTCAAGGAAGAGCACAAGCAAAACCAGAGGAAATGCGAAAAGTAAACACCAAGTAATCTTGTCATCACCCATCAATTAGACATCCCATCCCTCACCAACCCAAAGTCGTTGGTCAACTTATGTTGTCCAATAACAATCACTCAAGTGTCTTGCATTGCTTGAAAAGAAAACCAAAAGGGCTGCCAGGTGCTACCTTATTGGCGGTTCCTACTGTCGTTCCCCATCGCCCTCATGGTGGCGCCTATACATCCACAACCACCACCACCACCACCACCATCATTTGCAATTATCCTGAATCAGAATTCTTATCGCATTACTGCTGTTGGAAAAGTGTTTGACGAACAACTTTCAGGTGGTAAGTTAGCTTCACTATAACCTTTATTATGAAGAATTTTATACGCATCGCTTTTGGATTAGAAAGCATCCTGGTCAAATTGTTTCCGTAGTGAGGTAGAGTTGTCATTCAAGAAAAATTACAAGGACGAATTATAAAGCATTTTAATTCTCATGGTTTTTTTTTTTTGTTTAAAGAGTAATTTTGGGTTCAACTTTAAGAAATTGTCTTCCACTTGTTCATTGTTGAAAAACAGGGTCGGAAGAGAAGCAGCTTCAACCTCATCCGCTTGTTCAGTCAACCAATAATTAACTGCTGTTTTCATTAATCAATTTACATTTGAGTAACAACAAAAACAATGGCAAGAGCACTTCTTTCCATGATCCTGGAGCAGTTGGGTGGTTCGTTCATTCCTCTAGAGATAAAGCACCATGTCGGACTGGCTGTCGGTCTTCAAGAAGAAATCCAAAAACTCACCAGCAACTTTGAGGCCATTCAAGCTGTGCTTGAAGATGCGGAAAGAAAACAGGTGAAGGAGGCCAGTGTGAGACATTGGTTATGTAAGCTCAAAAATGTTTCCTATGATGTGGAGGATGTGTTGGATGAGTGGAACACTGCAAAACTCAAATCAAAACTTGAGAAAGAGGAGAGAGCAACTGATCATGCTCCTTTGCCAAGGAAGGTATGCTACTCTTTCTCCTTCTCTTCCTCTCAAATCATACTACACCACAACATCGCTCAGAAAGTCCAAGAATTGAATGAACAATTAGACTTTATTTCTGCTGAGAAAGATAGGTACAAATTGGAACTAGGGAGGGGAATTCATGAAGAATCTGAACGACAAATAACTCCCTCTTTCATAGATGTTACTGATGTATACGGCAGAGACCAAGATAAGAATGCTGTATTAAACATGTTGTTGGAAGAGAATAGTGAAAAAGAATCCACTCTCCAAATCATCAGTATAGTAGGGATGGGAGGAATAGGGAAAACTACTCTTGCTCGACTAGCCTACAATGACAATGTTGTGGATACTCATTTCGAGAAAAAAATTTGGGTGTGTGTCTCGGATCCTTTTGATGGCATCAAGATTGCCAAAGCGATTCTTGAATCTCTTGGAGATGCTGTGCCAAACTTTGTTGAATTACAGACTCTGCTACAACGTATTAGGAAGTCACTTGTAGGAAAAAGATTTCTTCTTGTTTTAGATGATGTGTGGAATGAAGATGACTGGAAGTGGAAACCCTTCAAAGATTCTCTCAGTTGTGGTTCTGTGGGAAGCAAAATCCTAATGACCACGCGTAAGGAGAATGTTGCAGTTGCTATGGGTTGCACTACTTTGTTCCCACTAGGGAAGTTGGCCAAGGAAGAATGTTGGCTGTTGTTTAGTCGGATAGCCTTTTTTGGAAGGACTAGCAGAGAATGCAAGATTTTGGAAGATTTTGGTAGGAAAATAGTAGGCAAATGCCAAGGTTTGCCACTTGCTGTGAAGACTCTTGGGGGCCTCATGCGTTCCAAAAGAACTATAGAACAATGGCAAAGTGTTTTGAATAGCGAAATATGGGAGTTGAAGGAGGCTGAAAGAGGTATTTTCCCTCCCTTATTGTTGAGTTATTATGATTTGTCCTCAGCTTTAAAACAATGCTTCTCATATTGTGCCATATTTCCTAAAGACTATGTGATAGAGAAAGATAGGCTGATCAAACTATGGATGGCGCAAGGTTTCCTTAAGGAGAAGCGAATCAAAGATATGGAAATCCTTGGTCAAGAGTATTTTGAAGACTTAGCAATGTGCTCTTTTTTTCAAGACTTTGAAAGAGATGGCGATGGTAACATAATTAAATGCAAAATGCATGATTTAGTACATGACTTGGCCCAGTTTCTGACCAAGGGTGAGTGTTTCACGGTAGAGGTCCATGGTGTTGAACAGCCTCAGGTAGATACTTACAGTGAAAAAGGTCGTCATTTAATGTTGGCACTTGGAGAGAAGGTCATATTTCCTACCTACATTTATAATGTTAAGAAATTGCGTAGCCTCCTAGTTGAACCAATCAATTTTTATGCTTCAATAATGAGTGAATCCTTACCCATGTTATGTAATCAGTTGACTTGTCTAAGGACATTGGACTTGAGTACCAAGTATCATACTATCTTTGGTAGCACAGTTACAGAAATTCCAAAAGAGATAGCAAAATTGATTCATTTGAGATACCTTAACATGAGTAATAATGGTGATTTAGAAGAATTGCCAGAAGCATTGTGTGAATTGTTTAATTTACAAACCTTAGACCTCAGTTTTTGCAAAAAGCTAAAAAAATTGCCAAATGGAATGGGAAAACTAGTAAACTTGAGGCATCTTAAGAATTATGGTACTTGGAGAGTAAGGTTCATGCCAAAAGGAATCGAGAAATTAACGTCTCTTCGAACACTAAGGGAGTTTGCCTTGAGTGACGGTGGTACTAGTTGTGAAACATCTTCGATTGGGGAATTGGGAAGCTTGACCCACCTTAGAGACTATCTTGAGATTAGAGGATTGGGAAATGTTAGAGATGTGAATGAGGCCAAGAAAGCAAATCTTCGGAGCAAGGAATGCCTGCTTAATCTACTATTAAAATTTGATATGGATGAGAACAAGTCAGGAGGGGGGTTACCAAATGGTGATGCACTCATTCTTGAAGCCTTACAGCCACCTCCTTACTTGGAATGTTTAGAGATACATAACTACAGAGGCTCGAGCATATTGCCAAAGTGGATGTTGGCATTGACCAACTTGAGGCATCTTGCAGTCTGCTCATGCAGAAACTGGGAGAGATTGCCTCCCCTGGGGAAACTTCCATCCCTTGAATCACTTTGGATTTATGACATAAGGAGAGTAAAGAAAGTGGGAGTTGAATTTTTAGGAATCGAAAGAGATGAGGGACAAGGATCTTCATCCTCAACTGTTATTCCCTTCCCGAATCTGAAAAGACTTGAAATTCATGACATGAATGAGTTGGAAGAGTGGGAATATGCGGAGTTTCATTTCCTAGGCAAAGGAAAAGAGCAAATTAGTATAATGCCATGTCTCAATTTCTTAGTGATTGATAGATGCCCGAGGTTAAAGGCACTGCCATACCACCTTCAAAATTCAAGCATTGAGACATTGGAGATAAGATGGTGTTCTACTCTGGAAAAAAGGTGCAATATCTATCGCATTCCTAACATTCGAATAAACTATATGGAGGTGAAAAGAGATAAAGTTTGAACTCTTCTTTGGTCCGGATGATCACAAATGCAAGCAGAAGCTCATCAGGTTCTTTTCTTTTTAAATCTATTACTAACTTGCCAAGTTGGAATACATAATCTACATTTTTGTCTGAATTATTGCATGCATACATGGTTTAGTGATGCAAAATTCAGCTGAATATCAAACTTGTTTGCCTAATTAGCTGATGTAATGAGGTTAGAAACCCCACTAAGATGAAAAGTGGCCAAACTACCACATTGGGTGGTCAAACTAAGGATAACTAGAACCTTTTCCTCTTTTGAAAAGAGTCTAGAAGAAATAAGCATTGCTCATTCAGAAAAAATATTCTTTATTTATGTTAAAATTGAGAGAAGTTTCCCCCTGCCTAAAAAGTAGGGTTTGAATCTTCCTTCCCTCAATTATAAAATTGAAAGAAAGCTCACACATTCATTAATGATGCCTAACGGCCCTAAATACAATAAAAAAGAAAACTACCACTTAATACATGAAGAAAGTAAAAAACTATCAAAGAGTAGAGGCCAACATGACCACATAGTAAATAATTTTTGATTCATGAGTACATGGTTACAAACCACTAGTGAGAACATGTCCATAAACTCAACTTACATGAAGGAAATATAACTGCCTATAGTAAGCCGCCAAAGTCTGCAACTCTCCAAGTTTGACCTTAATTTCAATACACCTCTGTGAGGTTGAGCTTGGTTCCTTTGTTTTGATCAAAGCCGAATTCCCTGAGCATTTTTCTTAGCCAAATGACATGTTTAACAGCTGATGCTGCAACGATATACTCGACTTCTACCATGTATTGAGTGACAACATCTTGTTTCTTCCTCCCGTTAACCCTATTTTGTTGAGATGAATATGTGATTGTTTTCTAATGCTTAATACCACAGCGTGTCAAGAATCCTTTAAATTCATTGGTGCAATATTCTTGATCATTGTCTGTTCTCAATATCTTCACCAACATGCTAGACTCACTCTCCTCCATAGCTTTCTACCTAATAACTTGTCATACACCTTAAATTTATCAGAGTGAATGAGTTAGAGCTTTGCTTTTGTTCTCAAGTTGCTGGTCTTTGGAAACAAATTCCTCCTCTATTTTCCATATTGGAAAATTTCACAAACTTGATCTGTAGAGATAGTTTCTGGTAGTCCCTTAACCATATTAGTAGACACCATTTTGTCTTAAAGAACCATAGTTCACATGCCACAACCGTTTGTGCCAAAGCTTTGCATCATCAGGGAGATTATGATATGCAGTAAAGGTATTCTTCAAAAAATTTATTGGGGAAGCATTTATTTTTCATGTCAATAGTGATTAATTCTTTACCAACAAAATCAAATATTATGCAGGTTTTTCTTAAATCATAGTGAGTTATTGTCTTCTAGCAACTGTTCTACACTCAACAAATTTTGGCTAATTACTTCAAGAGAGAAAATGACACTAGAAATTGTTTTCATACCTGATGTAGTTTGAAGACTCACTGTTCCTTTCCCAATAATATTTATGAAGTCTCCAATCCCAATTTTTACTTGAGACTTAATGCCTTGATCAAGCATTGTGAAGGTTCCTTCATTACCAGTATATGGTTTAAATAGGCGTTGTCCATTAGCCACACAGCATCCTTACAGGTTTGTTTTTCAACAGTCTTCATCATGAACAATGCCCCATTACAATCTTCTTTCTCCTCAACAATTGCAGCCTTTTGTTGATTACATGTGCTTCTATTTTTGCAAACCTTTTCAACATGTCCCATTTGATTTTAATATTGACATTTCACATTAGGACGGAGCTAGCAAAATTTCTTTGTATGGTTTCATTTTTTGCTATACGAGCATTGTAGAAACTTAGCCTTAACTTTCCATTGTTTTCCATCATTGTCATTTTCCTTGTCTTGGTCATTCCACTTTTGACTATTACCAACTTCTTTGTCTCAATTCCTAACCATCAAAGCACCCTCCACATGTTCATCATTCCGAATGGCTTATCATTATACTTGAGCTTGGAGGGCGTTTACTAGTTAGGTAATTGTGAGTTGAGCTATGTCTTTAAAGTCCTTAAGTGAGGATATCTTAGCCTCAAGTTTTTCAGAAAGGCTTACTAGAATCTTGTTCACAATCTTGTGTTTAATTAAATCTTTTCCAAGCAATCTAAGTTGATTGATCACCTTCATTATCTTGTCAAAGTATTCTTTAATACTCTTTTCATCCTTCATCTTCAGAATCTTGAACTTTCTATGGAGATTCGAGGCTTGCATCTGACAAGTCCTCTCACTATCATGAAACTCCTCGTTCAAATGATCCCAATCATCCTAAAGTGATTCACAAGTCATTATTGTTGTGAAAATAACATTTGACACAACTGAATGGATGCATGAGAGAGCCTTAAATCTTTTCTCCACTTCCTCGCTGTAGTGTTTCATCTATGCCATTATGGGGTTTGGTTTCTATTTTAGTGGCTCACCTCCCACTCCACAACCTCCCGTACATTGAAGGCTCTGAGATACACATTTATCTTCATGGCCTAGATGGCGTAATTTTCTTCTGTAAACACAAAGCAAAGCAACGACATTAACACTTGAGGAAGCCATAGTTATGGTTCTTTATTTTAAAAAGCTTGAGAATGAAGATTTTTAGAAAATAATTGTTGATGATTTTTTTTTGCTTTCTTGGTATCTTAAGGAGCTTTGATACATGTTAAGATTGAAAGATAGCTCACACATTAATCGATGATGCCTAGCTGCCCTACATACAAGAAAAAAGAAAACTACCACTTAATACATGAAGAAAGTAAGAAACTACCAAAGAGTAGTGGCCAATATGACCACATAGCAAATAATTGTTGGTTCGTGGATACATGATTACAAACCATTTATGAGAACATGTCCATAAACTCAACTTACATGAAGAAAATATGACTATCTACAGCAAACTAGCAAAGCCTGCAACTCTCCAAGCTTGACTTCAATTTCAATAATTTATTCTCAACTTGATGCCTGACATCTAACTCTCTAGTGGTTTATATAATGATTCTTAGGGAAGAAAACTTTTTTATTTTTCTCATGTGGGACTACAAATAAACTAAAACTATTATTTGATCATTTGATTTTCATGTGAGACCTAGATAATAATAATAATAATAATAATCTAATAACATATTCCTATAACATGTAATCTCTAAGCTCATTCGTATCCGTATCACAAGGTTTTGAAGTCCAAATAAAGTTTGCAGCGTCATCATTGCATTACATTTGTACGTGAATAGGACTAGTACTCTTTAAGACACTTTTTTGAATGGTAATTCAAGCCTGAGCATTGACACAAGGCCTTCTATCTAGATATTCTTTTCTTCTCCTTTTCATTTGAATTAAAAATCTGGCATGTACATCCGATGAAAGATTTCCACTTTGCTGTATTGTATAAAAAGTTAAATCAAATACTGTAATTTTGCATCACCGCCTTGTTTATCGTATTTCTAACTATCTTCCTCAAGCTGGATGTTTTATGTTGCAAGTATCTTTTTAAACACAAACAAGGTCTTTACACCTCAAATGACCCTAATAGATTTTGAACATCTTCATGCTGGAAATTTCACAGGAAACCAGTTGCTTCTTCAGTTGGAAGAATTCAACCAAACTGGCTGCTGAGACTATTCTTCTATGCAACTATACTAACCATCTAGTTGGCTGCTGAGTTGTATATATATATATATATATATATATATATATATATATATTGGTTAGTTTTAGATATCATATCATCTCTTGTATCCTTATTTTCTTATTTTATGTTGCTAAGTTGAATCAACAAGGGTATGGTTTCAAGTTGCATGTTTAAATCCCGATAGAAATAGAGGTAGGCTTGGTTTGCAATCCCTCAATTCGATTTAGGGTTTTCAAGTATCATGATGTATCCTTTTGTTATTTATTTGTTTATTGTTTTGGAAACAAGACCAGAAAGGACTCCCTAATGAATTGTTTGCTGTAAAGATGTATGCTTTAACAATCGAAATGCTGAAGAAGGTTGTTAAGACAAAATCCAAGGCGTAAGCCAATAGACCTGGTGTCAGAAGTACTCGAATTTCTGGTGTAAGATGTAATGGTATCTTCCTAGGTAATTTATTAGTGTATTATTGTTTTTTACCTCAACAAGCTCCATGTCAACAAATTTTATGCTTTTCGTTTTGAAGCTCTATGTTTGTCTTGGTATACCTTTGAGTTGAATGATCATATATTTGTCCACTGTTAGTGGCAAGGATCCTTATAAATTACAGTTACAGTCATTTGTTCATGTTATTTCATATCTTGTCTAAGCAAGAAGCAAATCCTCATGAATTTTTCTTTATAAGAAGAAAGATGGAAGACCAAAGAGGGAATGGATGGAAATTATAAGAAATTATTTGAAATTGATTTTTATCAAGAGCGTAACGTAAGTAAAGAATAAATTTCCAGAACCTAATTAACTTTTTTCAGGTGGAAGAGACATTAATCCTAGTTTAGGAATCAACATAACAACAACAAAGCAATGAAGAAAATCCAATAATGAAGGAATCAATAGAAGAGTAACAAGCTGGAATGGAACAATGATAGAGTGAATATCGAAAAGCAATGTTGCACCTACTTGGCTTATATGAAGGATATACCTTTTTGCAGATTAAGTGCAATTGAAACTTAAGTTTAAAGTTAGACAAAGGGATTCCAAAAACTTTTATCCTCTTAAAAACCAATAAATAGAGTAAGGTTGATTATTTATAAAGTGATTTGATTTTGAAATGCTGGAGGTCCTTGGTGTTTGTCTTCTTTTGTAAACAAAACTAAAGTGGGAATCAATTCAGTACAATTTATAGAAATGGAAAAATATATGTCACCAATGATGCTTTGGTTCAGAGTTATATCTATCATGTCTTCTTTTTGTCTTTCTTAATATCTATCACTTTTACATAGAAATAAAAGAATAAATGTATATTTATACAATGAAAAGAATAATTAACCTCAAGATTTTTAGCTTGCTACTATTATTTTTTGAAATTTAGTTTTAATAATGATGCTTCCCAACAAAAAATTTAAAAGCAAGAATAGAAGATTCCAAACTTGAAACCTTTATCCTCTTAAAAACCAATAAATGGGAAAGGTTGTTTTGGAAATAGTGATTTGACTCCGAAATGCTTTCCTTGTTTTCTCTCATTTTCTATATATTTTCTGTTTCAGATACAAAATTGTGGTATTTACATCTTTGATAGCAACATTTGGAATAAAAATGTATCAATTAGAAGAAGCATTTTATCTTTAATGATGAATAGATTTTCTTTTGTTGAAAGACAAAGAGAATAATTCTAAAGCAAGGAAGATTGGCATAGTAATTAAAGCAGTATTTGCTTTCATATTCTCTCAATAATTTCCTTGGCATATGCCATTTTCTTGTTTTTGGTTCAAAATGCTTGAGGGAATATTTGTTTAGCCTTTATATTCAAACACCCTCTCCCATCAAAAGGCTAGCAATTGATCATCTTAATAACTTTATTATATAGAGTTATCTTATGTATCTTTAAAACTTAAAATTGAGCTAAGTCCTCTAGTTTAAAGTAAAACATAAATAGTTTTATGCTTAATAGTAGTAATTTAATTTATGTCAAAGCATTTATCATTTATGATATTTTGATGAATTTTTTGTTAAAATCTCTTATTTCAGCCTCTATTTATTTAATTTTCTGATGTTGAAGGATGTGCAAGGACTTGGAACTCAAATGGCAAAGGTTGGTGCAAGTAGCTTAAGAAAGTCCTTGAAACATGCTGCAATGTTTTGAGCATAACTTGAGATGCAAAACTCCAATCGACACAATTCTTGAATCTATGGAAAGCTAAGAGGAAGAGTTACAACTTTAATTATTAGCACTTTACTCAGTTTAAAAGGAATCATAGTAAAAAATATGGAGGAATTTGACTGACTGCAGCAGACTGCAGTCAGTGTTGACAGCAGCTTGTGCACCCAGCGCCTAGGCGCCCAGCTCTCAGCGCCTAGGCGCCAATTGCACTGCCCAGCACGTTGAAGACAGCCAAAAAATAGAACCTTAGGCACCTAATTGCTGGCAAATCTCATCTCTCTCTCTCTTCATTTACCTGAAACTCTTTCTTTGTTGGTTTGAGATGGATATCAAACCTTTCCTTCATGAACACTATTTGCTCTTTGACGAATATGAAGAACAAGAGGCATGTTGTGATACATGCAATCAGCAAATTAATGGTTTGGCCTATTCTTGTGAAAGATGCAAGTTTTGGTTGCACCAGTCCTGCACTGATTGCCCAATTTGCACAAAATGAATGATTAGTAGGTTTCTACCTTGGTAATTGGTCAAAGAAAACTTACACACAAAAATATGAGATTAGCAGATTGAATCAAACAAATTTTGCCAAGGAGTCAGCAAATGCATTTGTCTCTCCTTGTACAAATTCGACATCACCAATGGTATTATTCTAGCAATCAATTTCTTCGAGAATGTGCCATTTCTTTGAGGAGGCAAATAATTGGAGTGCTTGTTTGATCTCCAGCAATAATGAGAAATGAAATAGTCATTCCCCAACCAATATATCATAAATTCTCTAATTTTGGAAAAAAAAATATTATTCATTTCTTCTAACACTACCCTTGGGACCAATAGATACAATGGACTTAAAAATTTTCTAATTAATTAACACTAGGAATTTAAAATCATAGTGGCTAGCCAGATAGGAAATTAAAATCCTATCTGCTGTTGAGGTAGTTTGATTTATGTTTTTGTTTTTTTTTGTTTTTTTTTACACTAGAATCATCCTTAGGTTATTATGTGCCATTAAATGTGGAAGTGAAAAGTTGCTAATGGGAATTATGGAATCCTACTTTGTTAGAACGTAGCATTGGCGGAAAACTTAATTTACTATAAATTAAAGGAAAATCGTAGTGGTGACAGCAGATAGGATGGTGAATTGGATGAAATGTCGAGTTAAATATCAGCAATTAGTGCCTGAAACCGGAAACCAAGATGACTTGAGAACACAAGCATGAAATATTTATGCCCCATAATCCCACTCCTTAGAAGAAAATAAATAAATAAAGATAGAAAGGAATGGAAATTTGCATAAATATGCAGTTTCTGAATTATTTGCATGATCTCTTCATCAGAAAGCAGTCTCAGAAAAATGTCATGCATTATAGTGTTGCTTTGATTTAGAATGCCTTAATGCGATTGAGAATTGGGTTTATTACATGCTAGTTACTTAAAAAACAAAACCATCTTTAAGTAATATTCTTTTTGAGATTCGGGGAAAAGCTTGCTAGGAGTTCTCTCTCTCTTAAGGGTTGTGTGTGCTTTATCTTGCTAATATTCTGGCACTTCTTATCCTCAGAAAGGAAAAGCTTAGTTGTGTCTTTCAGTATGTTTTATCACAAGGAGATTGATTCTTCGTCATGAGTTTGAGGATCTATAATTGCCTATATATGAAGTTGGTTTAAATACTTGTGAGTTGTTTTGACTATACCAGGACAGGTGACTGAAATCTTGCAAAGGGGAATTTTAGGGGAATCTTTTTAGGAGACTAAGCAGTTGGAGTTTGGCTTTAATATGAAGATATTTAGGTAAATATGCAGTAGTCATATGGCTTTATTATGAAGATAATTAAGTGATTTCAAAAAGTTTTATTATAAATAACATGACAATAGATGCACTTAAGTACTTGTTTCAATGATAAGTGCATATATCCCCTATTAAAAGAGCTGAATTCAAATTACTCTCCTCAAATCAAAATAAAATAAAATATGATAATAGAAGGTTGTGCCCTCAATGCCTTTGAATGGTTTATGTTGCTGGAATTAAAACAAACTTTTTTGATGATCTTAGTGCAGATGAATCTGGTACACCTTAGGGCTTAGTGTACTAAATTAAATCATGCTATAATTCTCAAAACAGGCATTGCTAGCCCCTTTTCTAAGTCCATCCATTCAAGTAATAGGGATATCTACAAATGGTTCTAAAGCATACTTAGAATATTGCTGGAATACTGATCTGTTTAGTATTTCATTTTTTTCTTGATGTTTTTAATTTTAATTGACAATCATAAATCTAGTTGACATTCTGAGCTCAGTTTCCATGGTAATTTAAAATACTACAGATTGTGGTTCTGGCATAGGAAGAATAACCAAGAATTTGCTCATAAGATATTTTGATGAGGTAAAGTCATATTTCTCTTTCTATTAGTATATCTTCAATAGTTCTGACATTTACCATCTTTGCAGTTAATTGATAACATGATTCATAGTGCATAATTTGTACTACTTAAAGAATTTCTCTGTGTATTTGAGTGGAAAGCAAAATTGGGTGGTGCCTTTTAAAAATTCATGCATGAAGCGAGGAGTAGAATCTTATTAACTTGTAATTCCAATACAGTGAATATGATGATTTCTATGTTAATAGTTATATCTATTTTAGTTTGATTTCCATGTGGAATATGATGGGCTTTCGCTTCCTTCCTCTGCTTTTGTTTTTTTCATGGAATGATAGGAATCAATGTCATAATATTAGTTGGAGCTACGATCTTAATAAAGCTGCATAGTTCTTTGTGATAGCTATGCTTTCAGACCCCTCTTTCCCTTGCCATTCTCCAGGTTGATCTACATGAGCCAGTGTCACATTTCTTAGATGCTACCTTGAGATTGGGCATGTGTAGCTTTATGCGATATGAATCGTAGATGATTAGACAAATTTTGAATCCAAGTAAATTCTTTGCCTTTGGCTTTTTCAAGAGATTGGGCATGTGTAGTTTTAAGTCAGTATGGTGCTCCTAAAACATTGAAAATCAATGCTGCTTCTACTTGGCTTAGATGAAGCATATACCTTTTTACAGATTTAGAAAAATTGAAACTTAAGTTTGAATTAAGTATAGGTAAAAAAACAAAAGGATTCCAAACTTAAAACTTTTATCCTCTTAAAAATCAATAAGTCGAGCAAGGTTGTTATTTATAAAGTGATTTGATTCTAAAATGCTAGAGGTCTTTGGTGTTTTTCTTCTTTTGTAAACAAAACTAAAGTGGTAATCAATTGAGTACAATTTATAGAAATGGATATATTTATGCCACCAATGGTACTTTGCTTCAGAGTTATATCAATCATGTATTCTTTTTGTCTTTCTTAATATCTATCATTTTACATAAAAATTACAAGAATAAATCTATACTGGTATAATTAAGGTCCTTTGAAAAACCAATAAATGGGCAAGATTTATTATTTTTTTTTTGGTTTTGAAAAAAGTGATTTTCCAAAATGCATAAGGTCCTTAATGCTTTTGTATATATTGACTGTTTTAGATTCAAAATTGTGGTATTGGCATCTTTGACAGTCACATTTGGTATAAAAATGTAGCAATTAAAAGAAGTATTTTATCTTTAGTGATGAGTAAGTTTTTTTTTTTTAAAGGCAAAGAGAATAATGTTCTTTCCTTGTTTAAATAGAGAAAACAAAAGCAATGTTGACAAGGCATGAAGCATATGCCATTTTCTTGTGTTTGGTTCAAAGGCTTGAGGAAATCTTTGTTTAGCTTTTATATTTAAACACCTTTTTCCCATCAAGAGGCTATTGGTCATCTCTCTCTCTTCATCTACCAAAATTTCTTTCTTTCTTTGATTGAGATGGATATCAAACGCTTCCTTCATGAACACCACTTGCTCTATGATGATTACAGTGAATCAGAGGCAATTTGTGATATATGCAATCAGAAAATGGATGGTTTGGCCTATTCTTGTGAAAGATGCGAGTTTTGGTTGCATAATAACTGCGTTCATCAACACCTACCTCATCAGATAAGTGCACATCCTTTCCATTCCCAACACAAACTTAGTCTCTTATGGTCAAATCACATAGATTACATATGTGCTAAATGTTTCAATCTTTCTCGAGGCCATAGATACCATTGCAAAGATTGTGATTTTAGCCTTGAGTATCAATGTGCTTTTTCAACCAATGATGAGAAAAATAGACTCAATGATGAGACACCCAAAAAATTTAGTCGTTTCAACATGTCGTTGACCCTCTTCAACTATAGGAGAGTGAAAAAGGATGAGTATACATGTAGTTGGTGTGAGATGCATTTATCTGGAATGTCCTATGGTTGTCTTGACGAAGGTGTTTATATCTGGTTCCATGATTCCTGCCTAATCAACATGCCTAGCATAATCTTCAAACACCCATTTCATCCTTCACACCCTCTTCCATTACTCAACGTTTACATGGATAATGCGTTGTGCAATGCTTGCAACCTACCAATATGGGAGTTCAGAAAAGTCTATTGCTGTAGAAAATGTGAATTCCAACTTCATGTTCATTGTGCTAAACTACGACCCAGTCTCAAGGTTGAGTTACATGAGCATGATCTTACTTTTTTTCGAATAAAAACTAATACAGCTACCCACCTATGCAAGATATGTGGTTTTAATTTTGATGCTATAGGGACCGAAAGTGCTTTTTATCGTTGTGTTCAGTGTAATTTCAATTACCATTTCAAATGTCTCACAATACCCCATTCTACTTCACACAAGTATCATAGGCATGATCTCATGCTTATGGATTCATATATAGAAGATGTTTCTGAAGAATATTATTGTGATATATGTGAAAAAGAAAGAAAACCCAAGCATCGTGTTTATTCTTGCAAGAAATGCAAATTTGTTGCTCACATCGAATGTGCACTCAAAAAGGTAAAAAGACAGTTACTCTCTCTCTAAAGAAATTTAATAAATATTTTTTTCATTAGATAAACTATTAATTATTTGATCATAGCTAACATATCATGTGCCCTTTAGAAAAGTTTGTATGCTAATATTTTCATTTCCCCAGTTTGTAGATATGAAACTTGACCAAAGTTCGACCTCTATTTTGTTGGATAGCGAAGCTTCAACATTGAAGGTGATAGAATTGGGTCTTCTATATTGATATTATTGTGATATTTTCATTTGCCAATATTTTTTTTTGAAGTTTATTTCACTTTAGGTCTTCTATAATTCGTTGGATTTATGCATTATAAAGATTTGTTAGTAATAAACACCATCTACGTTTTTGAATAAAATTCAATACAAAAGAACTAAAATATGTAAATAATATAGGTAAGAAAGCTCTAGTCACATACCAGTATTCAAAATTAATTTGGAGACGGGTTTAGTGAAAATATTGAATGTTGAATAAAATAAAAACACATGCGTGCATCATGTTAATTTATGAACATATACATTTCATTATTTAATTATTGCTTTCATATTCTAGTTTTACCTAAAATTTTCCCTTTTTTTTACTTTTTAAACAAAAATAAAGAGTAAATTTTACTATTAATCTTGACCTATTTGTAATAGTTCGTTTTCATTTGTCTATTTTGAATTTGCTCCAATTCCATCTATATATGTCAACTTGTGAATAAAATATAGATGGAATTTGCAACGTAAGTTCCACATGTATGTCCAATTATGTGAATGTAGTCACATGGACATAAATGTAGAACTTAGATAGAAAATCCCTTCCATATTTAATGGTGTATTGATGGATAGATGACACTAAAATAAATTCAAAAAAGCATAGGCGAAAAAAATTGAGTTTGTTTAGTCACAAATGAAAATGAAATATTATGACAATGTTACAAACTAAGGATGCACTTAAAAATGGAGGAAGATTAATAACTTTCTTCACTTGCTCTGGTTTTGCAGGTGCAAATTGAACATTTTGATCATCCACATCCCCTGAGCTATAAAAAGGCTATTGAACAGAATGAGAATCTCCTCTGCAATGCTTGCCGTCAGAAAATTTTTGATCAACACTATGCTTGTGAAGATTGTAAATACTACTTACATGAAATGTGCACTACATTGTCACATGAGGTGTCACACCCTCTTCATCGCCAACATCCTCTCAAGCTCTTCACGGATATAGTTGAATTTACATGTCATGGATGTAGGGACCATTCTGGTGGGTTTGCTTACATATGCCTTCCATGTGATTTCCAACTTGACGTGAAATGTGCTACCACTCCAATTGCACCTAATAATGATGGCCAAAGGCTGAATGAGATGGAGAAAGTTTTCAAGTTGTGCCCTTTCAATCAAAATCATAAGCTAGAGTTCTTCAACCATAGACCCAATCTCAAAGATTTGGCTATGGAATGTGATGCTTGCAAGCTACCAATCTTGGGTCCAGGTTATACATGTCGTGATTGTTTCAATATCAAAATTCATGAATCTTGTCTTTCACATATGCAGGAGATACAACTCACCTTTCATCCGTTACACCCCCTTCATCCACAAATTGGCGATTGGGAAAATTGTTCTGCCTGTAGATTTAAAATCATTGAAAGTATCGGTTATAGTTGTCGGCAGTGTGATTTCCACCTTCATCTTCATTGTGCTAATTCCCTGAAGCTGGCCTTGAAAATTAAGTCTCACATGCATAATCTTTATTATTTTGGAGCACATTATGAGAAATCCTACCAATTATGTAACAAATGCAAAAGTTACATTGGTAAGGAACCTTTCTATTATTGCGTGGAGTGCAATATCAATTTGCACTTAAAATGTGTTCCCATACCATGTTTAGTTAAATCCAAATGTCATATGCATCGTTTGACTCTTAAAAATCATTTTGTGGAAGATGATTATGGAGAATACTATTGTGACATTTGTGAAGAAGAAAGGAACTCAAAAAATCATTGTTATTATTGTGAAGAGTGTGCTGGACTATTTGTTGCTCACATCGAGTGCGTGCTTCTTACAGTAAGTTTATCACTCTCATTTTCTCTGTAGAATTTTTCTACACCATGTTATTTAATTTTTTAAAGGAAAATAAGAATCTAAATTACACATCACATGATTGTATCCACCACCTCCTTGATTGATTGGACTTTATTAATGGTTAAATTACACATCGAGTGCGTGCTTCTTACTGTAAGTTTATCACTATCATTTTCTTTGTAGAGTTTTTCTATACCACATTACTCAAAAAATTTAATTATTTTCACCTTCTTTCCCTTAATTAGGATAATTTTTTTAAAATCTATCTCGATTTCCTAGATCTAAAATCATAAAGTTGTAAAAATGAAACTTGTTTCTTTCCACCGCCGTGTCCTTGACTTGGTGCTAATGATCACAAGGTTGTGTTTTTTCATGTTGTAGGATTTCCATGAATTTTCCAACTTTAAAGATGTCGACTCACCTACTGAGAAGTCCTCTATGGATAAGTTGCTTTTCGAGCCCCATGCCGAAGTTTACTTAAACCAAAATAGAGAGGTAGTTAAGTCCTATATATGTTCATTTCAAAGATCTCATCTTTTATGTGAAAAGTTTCAAGATTTTATGGGTGTCATTGTCGTTGCAGAAGTATTGGGTGGATAAGAAGTTAAACAAATACTGCTTCATGTTGTTTGCAAGAGATTTTTCAATCACTTGGGCAGAAGACCACCGTTATTGGCGTTGGTCATACCAAAGGGAAACAAACAGGTTAGTGTAGAATCCTTACTTCATAGTTCTAGCTCGACGGCTTTCCTAATCCATAAACTTTTGATTTTGCAGCGATGTGTTGATTGATGTTGCCGAACTTCTAGATGTGTGTTGGCTAGAAATGCATGTGAGTATCAATGTAAAAAGGCTTTCACCAAAAACTTTGTATGGAGTTGTGTTTGTGTTTAAGTTGACAGATAAAGCATATGGATGGAATATTCCAGTGAACTTTGGATTCACTCTTCCCAATGGGCACAAGGTTGAACACAAGGAAGTTTTGATGACCAAGCCGAGAGGAGTATGGACAGAAATCCATATCGGAGAATTTACAACTTCATCTGAAATTGTTGGAGAATTAGATATTTACTGTCACGAATATGATGTATTATTTTGGAAGAGAGGACTTATTGTTAAAGGAGTTGCTATTCTGCCAAAGAATTAAGTTATAAATTAGCATGTTCTCACAATAAATCTGAAAGTACTGTAGTTTTTTCATTTGTTCATAATCCTGCAAATTCCAAAATGCAATAAAGTTGAAAGGACCCAACTCATCCAATTATCACCTCAAGACTTGAGCCAGCTTTCTGGGTTTTATTATATAATATAGGTTCAATGCTAAATGCAGCAAAGATGCCCATTGATTTTTTTGGTACTTTTTATTAGATTTTCCAATGGCCAATGACTTGTGGCCAACGGTCAAAAATTGAAATCTGAAGAGAGAAGGGTAAGGTAGAAAGAGAATATAGCTAGATAAAGAAGGAAGGAAAAAAATGAAGAAAAAAAACTAAATGTGTCGTAAACAGTATGCTTAAATGACATAGCTTTAGATAAAAAAGCGAAGAAAAAGAAAAGCGACGCGATCATTTTTTTTTATTTTGACACGTTAGTGTCGCATTAGTATTGTCTGACATTTCAATACCACATTAGTACCACTAATAGTCAATTTGCAATGAGTTAGGTAAAGGGACTCAAATGCATTAAATTTCAGATAATAAGAGCTAAATTAACCAATTTCAGATAGATGGACTAAATTGATGAAAAATCTATAATACAAGGATCTATAAGGTACTTTGACCATTTATTAATTTAGCAACTTTGATCAATCTATATCTAATACGTTTTATATTTTATGTAGAAATATTGTAGAACACTCATTTAAAGGTACCTATATAAAATAAAGTGCCTTCTATTGCGTATCGACCACTTAATAAGCCGTTGATAATGCCTTTTTAAACTGAATAATCTATGCTATTAAGTTGAATCGATAAGGGATGGTTTCAAGTTGCATGTTCAATGTTCCTATTAGAAAGAGCAAGTTTAGTTTGCAATCCCCCAATTCAGTTTACGGTTTTCAAGTATCATAATGTATCCTTTTGTTATTTATTTGCTTATTGTTTTGAAAACAGGACCAAAAAAAGACTCCCTGAGGAATTGTTTACTATAAAGATGTATACTTTAACAACTGATGTACCGAAAAAGGTTGTTAAGACTAGATCAAAGTGCCAAGCTAGAAAACCCAACATCATCAAATGATTTGTTGCCTCTTAACTTCTTGCATTGTTGTAGAAGTGCTCGAATTTTCTAGTATATGATGTAATTGTATCTCCTTATGTAATGTATTAGTGCATTACCTCAAATTGTTTTTCACCTTAACAAGCTCCTTGTCGACAAAATTTGTATTTTTTGTTTGAAGCTGTATATTTCTCCCCCATATACCTTTGAGTTGAGTGACCATACACTTGTCCATTGTTGATAGAAATTGCAGTTATAAAGTCATTGGTCATGTTATCTAATAACGTGTCTAAGCAAGAATCAAATCCCTATGAATTTTCCTTTAAAAGAAAAAAGATGGAAGACCCAAAAATGCATGGGTAGAAATTACAAAAAAAAAATGATTGTACTTTTATTGAACTTGTTTAAGATAATCAATCATTAATATATATATATATATATGTATTATGAATTTTAAGCTTTGCCAATTAATGAGCTTGTTTGAGGCATGTTTTTATAGCATCACAAGTCTTTTCACAAATTTTTCTTTTTGGGTACATATACCTTTCTTACTGATTAAAATAATTGAAACTTCTATTTAAATGGGTAGAAATGGGATTCCAAACTTAAAATTTTGATCTTTTTAAAATTTAATAAGTAGAGCAAGGTTGAGTATCTTTAAAGTGATTTTTTTTTGCTCAGTCAAAAAAAAAAGATTTATTAGATAAACGAAAATACAAAATGTTTCATAATAGAGCAAAGGAGCCAAAACTAATGGACTTAGAGAAACTTAAGCAATAGGGAAAATGGTAAAAACAGAGAACAACGAAAGTAGAACATAAAGGTAGAAAACTTCCTCAAACACACTAAACTGAAGATAAGGTTACCAAGAGGAAAGAAGCATCAACATATAGGATAATTCATCATGAGGGATTGGGAGTTCTTACAATTTATCATGGGGAAAATGGCATTTGGTGATAGATAAAGGTGATGGATTCTAGAATTTCTAGCTACAATTAGGGTTTTTTTTCTTGTTAATGGTGTTCCTGTTAACCCATTTTGGATTTTGAAATTTCTAGCTACAGTTAGGGTTTTTTTCCTTGTTAATGGTGCTCCCGTTAACCTATTTCGGATGGAGTGTGGGCTGCGACAGGGATGTCCCCTTTCCCGGTTCTTCTTCAATATTGTGGTGGAGGCATTGAGTTTGTTGATGGGTAAGGCAGAAGTTCTTGGCCTTTGTTAAGGGATCTATATCGGTGGAAATGGGTTGGTTATATCTCACTTTCGGTTGGTGGATGACACGATAATCTTTTGTAGGCTTAAGTTGGATAATTTTTTGAATGCCGAAAGGATTCTAAGGTGTTTCCAATTGATTTCAGGTCTCAAGATTAATTTTCAGAAAAGTAACCTGTTCAGCATTGAGGTTGATAATCAACTTGTGAGAAGGTGGGCGGAAGCAATCTCATGTAAGGTGGGAGAATTTTCTACAATTTATTTGGAACTACCCTTTGGGGCTAATCCTTAGTCTTCTAGTGTATGGAAACTAGCCATTGAGAAGTTCGAGTCAAGATTGGTACGGTGGAAATCGAAGGTTCTTTTGATAAGTGGGAAGATCACTTTGCTTAGATCAATCCCTGCGAGCTTGCTTATTTTTATCATGTCTCTTTTTCAAATCCCGAAAGGGGTTAAAAATGAACTTGAAAAAAATTGAAAGAAGGTTTTTGTGGAGTGGGGTTGATGAAAAATGAAAAATTCATTATATTGGATGGGACAAAGTGTGTAGGTATAAAGAGGATAAGACACTTGGAATCATTGATTTGGAGATAAAAATAAAGCTCTCATTAACAAGTGGATATAGAGGTATGGAAAAGTAAGAAATAGTTTATGGAAAAAGGTTGTGGTTACTAGTTGATAAAATAGGAAGGAATCCAACAAGTCTTTTACTCGATACAAATTTTAACAAAAAGTTCTCTTCGCCTTGGAAAAATATTCTTAAACCTCTTCACCCAACCAATGAATTTTTTATGCAAGTTAATTCTAATCTCCATATGATGGTCGGTGATGGCAAGAACATTTTTTTTGGACTAACAAGTGGATTGAGGTGGGTATTCTTAAGGACTACTTCTTGCGAATCTTCACCTTAGCCTCAAAGAAAGGTGGGGTCATTTAAAATTATGGCCAATAGGACAACAGTAGCTGGATTTGGCAAGTTAATATATGATGTCAACCTTTTGTGTTGGAAAAAGTGTAATGGAATAATTTTAAAAAAACAGTGGAGGAGTACCACCTATGCAATCTGTTGGAGGACATGCTTGTTTCGAAGGGCACACTGTCGGGTTGATATTCCATGAGGTCTTTCTATAAAGAGGTGTTACAAGTTAAGAACAATAGTAGGGGAGTGTGGAAGGATATATGGTCTAGCCTTACCCCTTAAAGATGGAAGTATTCTGTTGGCAGGTTATCCATGAGAGAGAACTATCAAACAAGAGCTTGTTCGCCGAGGAATGATTAAAACTGATAAGTCAAGGTGCAATATCTACATGAATGATTTGGAATTTATTCAACACTTTTTTCTTCACTTCACATGTACTTAGAAAATTTGGATGTGATGGTATGGTGAATGGGGCATTTATTGGGTTGTCCCCAAGAATTTGGAAATCTTCTTTAGCCTGTGGAATTTTGCTTCTGTGAAATGACGAGAATCTAAAGTTTGGAAAATGGCCTTTTACGCTATTATTTGGATAGTATGGGTACAGAGAAATGACATGGTTTTTAATGGGAAAGAGTGGGACACTTCCCATATTTTTGACTAAGTAAATTATAGGTTGCTACTTGAGTGAAGGCTAAATGGCCATTGGAGTATAGTGTTGCTTTGGATACCTTTCGCTATCCTAACATGGGAAAGGGTATAACTAAGGCTAAAAAAAAGAGGTGGATGTAGGAATGGTGAAGACCAACTCATGGTGAAATAAAGTTTAATGTTGATGGTGTCACACAAAGGTGCTTAGGGGAGGCCGAAATTGGTGGGGTTATTCGCGATGAAAATGGAGAGGTCAAAGTTGTCTTCTTCAAACCTATAAAGGTTGAAGATTCTAACATGACAGAAGTTAAAGCAATTAGGGAGGCTTTTCTACTGTTCATTGCTTCAAACTGGTGCCAATCACATATGTTAATCATTGCAAGTGATTTTAAAAATGTTGTCAAGTGGATAACAAACTCTGAAGATGCTCTGTGGAGGTTTATGTTGACTTCATATATTTTTGATGATAACAAAACATTCCTCATTCATTAATATCTAACTTCACTATTTAAATGTGCAAGATTTAATTTAATACCGCAACAAAGTTATTAATTAAAAGCAAGTCAAGGAGCTTGTTAAGCTTAATAAAGAGTTAATTAGTTAAGAGGGAAAGAGCAACTAATGAACAAAGACAAACCCTTAGTAACTAATTATCAAGGTACCTTAATCAATTAACACATGGCTGTGTGATAAGCTGTACCAAAATAGAAATATGCTAATCGATTAAAAGATTTGGTTAATTAGTTAGAGCACAAGGTCTTAGTTTCATCAAGTGCCAAAAATAATAATTTAAAAATATGATTGACCGTTGAAGAGAGCCAAAATGAAAAAGTTCAAAATTGGAAGATTCTCTAGTTGGCTGATTGTAATCAGTTATAGTTGAAGAGAGCAAAGCTTCAATTAGTTAAGAGAAGAGCTAGCCAACTAAAGGAAGACTACTGTGTAGAAAAGTGGAAACAAAAATTTCGTAATCAGTTAAAACCTACCATAATCAGTTAGAAGAAGTCTACTAAAAAAGAAAAGTTTAAAGACAAAAAACTCTTAATTGGTTAGAACAAAGAATGCAACAGTAGGATAGTGTAAGGTAGAAAAGCTGTAATCGTTTAAAGCTGCTTGTAATTAATTAGCTGAAGTTTGTCTGCTTGTTTGAATTTAAACATTAAAGGACAAAATAACAGCTAGAAGTGTATCAAAGTTGTTTCTAACTGCTAAAAATTATCTCCAACATAAAAATCTGACTCCCCAAGTATAAAAAGAAGCTCTAACGGTCAAAAAAAGCAAATTTGAAGAGTAAAAAGCTACTCTGAGCAAAAAGCCAAATATTTTTCACTAAAAATATTTATTCTTCATTCTAAATCCAGAAAAAGTGTTTGAACTTGATTGTAATTTGTTCAAACTTGAAAAAGTATTTAATTGAACTTCTTTTTCTTGAGAAATTAGAGTATAGGAAGCACTTTAAAGCTTGTTGTAAGGGATTAGAGCTTGGGTTAAAAGCTCACCTTGTAAAAGCTTGGTGGAAGCTGTTAATTCCACTGATTTAGTAAAGTTGGGTTGAAAATCCTTGATTGGGAAATCAAAGTAATGCATGTAGGTTAAGGGGACTGAACCACTATAAATACTCTTACAATGTCCACTTCTCTTTACCTTTCCTTACTCTGTGTCTTGTAATTTTAACAAGTTCTAGACCTTCCCTTCATCTAGTTGATTAAGTGCTCTTCAAGCTTTAAAGGGCTGAGTAGAAAATATTTTTAGTGTTATTCACCCTCATCTAGCACTCAAATGGGACCAACAATTTAGGAAATAAATCTTACATATCGAGTGTCTAAAAAAATAATTAGAAGATGGGAAATCAATCATATTTTTAGGTAAAGAAATCAAATGGTAGATAGCCTGTCTAAGGAGAGAGTGTAAAGGAAGACTGATCTCTAGTGTGTGTTTGAGTAAACTTTTTGATAAAGTGTTGCCTTTGGTTTGGGGGTTACAAAGGAAAGGCTACTTGATAGAGGTGCTAGTTCTTGGAAGTCCTTATTGTGTTTTGTTTCCTTGAGAAAAGTTTGTGCTAATCTACGGTCTGCATTGTTGTTGCTTTTTTGTTAAAAAAGGTTTATTTCATGCTTGTGCATGCTTCATGGTCGGACATGCCTCATGACTTGCTTGGGACTTGGGATCTGTATGAGATATTGTTGTGTTTAGGATGGTTCGGTAATTTTGAGATTACTGTATAGGGAGAGGGTGATTGGGGAGGATTGCTTTGTTTTTGTATGATGAAAGTGCATTTGGGGTTATTTTTTGTTGACTAGATTCGATGGTTTGGGTTTGGTATGCACTAATGCATGCATACCAACTTCAAATCATCTCTTTTGTTCAGAGGGATGTTCCCTTGCTAATTATGAAATTAACTTTCAAAAACAAAATTCACATATGATACTATTTTGTCAACTTTATGTAGTTATTATAATAATCATGTTCATAAAATTCACAGATCTATTAATGAATAAATTTTAAATATGCATTTAAAATTTGGTCACAGTTTACAACAAATTTATTATATATGTAAATTATAATATATTTCTTAGTCAATAGGATTAGATTAAGAGCCTGTTTGGTCTAGCTTTTTTCTAACTTAAAATCTATTATGAAGTTCTTATGAAAAATAATAGCTTTTAGAATTAAGCTGAAATTATTTGATAAATTTTTTTTATAAGTTTTTTTTATAAATTATAACTTTAGTTAAAATTATCATAAAGGGTATTTCTTTTTTTGAGAGAGTTATATTCTAATTATTTTTAAGATGAGGATATTTTTGAAGCAAAAATAAAATTTTTTTCGTATTTTTAAAAAAAGAGAAGAAAAAGCTCCTCACTTTTCCTAAAGCTCTTTTTTAAAAATTTTATTCTTTAAAAAAAGTAACTTTTTTTTAAGAGCTTTTTAAAATTTATATTTAGCCTCACTTTTACTTTTAAAAGATAGATAAGCTAAAAAAAAAACCAGATCAAACGAGCACTAAGAATTTAATGTTGTGGTTTAGTATATATTGTTGTGGACAAAGAAACTAAAGCTATGCTAAGTGATTGGATTATAAGATGGTAAGTTTGTAAATATTTATACACAAAAAAATAATGAGATTTTCAGATTAAATTTAAAAAATTTTGCGAGGGAGTCTAAATGCGTTTGTCTCTCCATGAACAAATCCAACATCACCAATAGTATTTTTCTAGCAATCAATTTCATCGAGAATGTACCATTTGTTTCAAGACCTTGAGTCAACGTTAAAAACTCAAGATAGCACCACCTTTGAATCAAATTTAGTAATAAGTTTTTTGGTACCAACAAGGTTTGAGGAGGTAAATAATTGGAGTGCTTGCTTGATCACCGGTAATAATGGGAAATGGAATTGTCATTTCCCTGATCAAATATATTGTAAATTCTTTAACTTTTAAAAAACACGTATATCGTTCATGATTAATATTTGATACATTAACAAGTAAACGGTGGGATTTTTTCTTTTGAAGGAAATAAAAAGTTGATATTAAAATATGATGTCATTTTGAGACCTTATTATTATTATTATTTCTTTCAAAATAATATCCACATTTTACCTCTTTAATGAGGTATCAGGATTCGGTAGCAAGTGCATCAAATATTAATCCTATTATTCACCTTTTCTAACACTACCCTTGGGACCAATAGATACAATAGGGAGTAGAGATTAAACATTAAATATCAAATCTTTGAAATTTCTTAATATATCTAGTTATATTAGTGATTTGAACTTTGACTGGTCTAAAATCAGGCTTTCATTTTCCAAAATATAAAAAATAACAACCATTAATTCATAATTTCTTAGTAAAGAGAAATTTACAAGAAATGGTCAGATTAGTATAATTAGCAAGTAATAAATTAGCTGGGCAAATTCAACCAAAAAAAAAAAAATTCTAACTAGTTAATACTGCGAAATTAAAATCATAGTGGCTAGCTTGTGAGAAGAATCCGATTGATTTCCTCGATTATCAAAGGCTTTGATTGAATCTGATAATCACTGGCCAGAGTTTGCACGAAATCTTTAGGGATCAAGCACTTTTCTTCGGAATACAACTTCTCTTGAATTGCTTGAGATATTAGCAAGTTTGGGAGTTCTTGTGAGTGCATTAATGCTTCTTCCTTACCCTGCTATTACCATCACCCACCAATAATCTATCTCAGGAATATTAATCAAATAACTTAAAAATCAAAATTCAGTATAAGAACCAAGTATAGCTTAACTGGCAAGGAATAAGTATCAAGGTTTAAGGTTGAGATGCATCACCTGATGAAATGACCACATGGCTTCAAGAACTCCAACTTGAGCCTGCAAGAAGTTGACATACTTATAAGCAGCCTGGAGCATCTCAGCAGTTCTCATCTTGTGGCCACCAGGGATGAGCTTTCCTAGCTCCTGTATCTTGTTAGTTATTTTCCTTCTCCTTTGACGTGCGGCAATGCTTTGCAGGTTAGATACGCTAACTGGACTTGTTTTCTTGGCATTCTCATTCTCACAACTGAAAGTGGGCATTTCGGGCTCAAACTCTGGCAGTGGCACAGGGATTTTTGGCAAGAACAAGTCTGTGGCAGCCGGGCTTGGAGCAGAATTTGGAACGCAACCAGCCAAGAAGTTAGCCCCAAAATTTGAGCAGTAATAATTTGAAACATTCTTTTGGCGTTTGGGGTCCTGCTGGCACAACTC